GAGGTAGAGGTGAGAACTAGTAGCCAGCTTTCCTGATCTTCGTCGTGAACCCCGATATCTGTCTCTGGATTTATATTATTCATTCTACAGAGAAAGTATGTAACTTGAAGTGTGTAAGGCAGAAAAACAGACACCAGGTGAAATACTTGTTTCCCTGACACCTCAAAATTCTCTACTAAAATATGTTGTAGGTGTCAGAAAGTAGATTCTTAGTGACCCATGGTTGTCTGTGAGAGAGAGCCAGGCTAGGATCCAGCATCCAGGAGGTACCAGATGTACATCAGAGTCTGAGATCTCCTCTCCACCCCCCTACTCATTCTGATCGTCTCAGTCCAGGATGAGGACACTTTACCAGTCCTACTGTGCCTGACCCCATGCTTCATACAGAGGACAATACTTGAGAATAGGTCCCATGTCACAGAGAATCACTGTTACACGGGGATGTCGGTCTGTGTTAGTCAGGTGTCTGGTACTGAGACAAAGTAGCAGAGAACATCAGCCTAAGTGAGGAAATACTTACTGTTCTGTGTCACAGCCTCAGAGGCTTCAGTCCATGATCTCTTGGCTTCACAATGGAGAACATTATGACAAAGTGTAGGTGCTGGGAAAAGCGGCTCACCACATGGAGGCAGGAAGCTGGGAGAGAGGACAGGAAAGGTTGTAATACACCCCTCAGGCTTACCCACCCCTCATACCTATCCCCTCCTTCCAGCCCTCCCCTCGGGTTCCCATTGCCTCTCGATAGCCTTTTATTAATCCCTTAACTATACTACTTCATTGATGGGTCATAGATTCAGGTTCCAGTCAGTTCCCAAAGGCCCCACAGTAGAAGCTGCAAGTTAGCACATTAGCATTGATGGGACTCCTAGTGAAGCTGCTGTCTACAGAAGTGATGGGAAATCAGACAGGAATACAGCTCTGTCATGGTGGTGCCCATCTGTAAGGCCAGAACTCACTTGTTGTGTGTCAGAGCTTCTAATGTATCTATCTGGACCCTCCCCGTCCCTTTAAAGTTCCAGCTAAAGGGTCAGCTGCTCTTCTGCTGTGACGTGTGCTTTTCTCTGGCCCCTTTCAGTAAGATTGTGTGTAACACACTATGATACTGAGTCTCAACAAGAACATGGCTGAAAAGATGGCTCAGCATTTAAGACACCCACCGCTCTTGCAGAGGACCCACATGGGATGACTCAGTCACCTGCAACTCCAGCGCCAGAGGGTCTGGCCACTGAGGGCACATTGCATGCATGTGTACACGTGTGTGTATGCACCCACAAGGAGAAAAAAAGAACCACACATTAAGAAGTCATTTAGTTTAATTTTAAAATCTGAAGACAAGAACAATACCAACAACCCATCATCTCTGAGTGTGTTCCCTGTGATGCAAACTCTGTTCTATGGGTCCAACTCAGGAGGCTGTGAATGCCTGACTGCATCCAGCCATGGAGAGATTGGGACTGATTGCTCCTCAAGTGTCAGGAGTTTTACCCAGTAAGGTTTCAGAAGAATAAAATAAGCATTTGGGAAGATTTCTATAAAATTAAGAAGTAACGGAGGCTTAACATATGGAAGGAGAGAAGCAGGAGTCCTCTCCACTCTGAGATAGGCATTACATATTGGCATACTAGACTGCAGGACAAATAATGTTTCAGAACTGCCTTTTAGGATAATTTGCCAACTCAATTGAACCGGGAAACACACACACAGGGTTCAGAAACACAGAGTTCATAAGCCAGGGTTCCGTGACAGTCCATCTAGGATTATTGTTTTCATTGATTGAGACAGAAATGCACAGAAAGTATGAGTCAGCTGGGCTGGAGCCCTTGGCTCAGGCCAAGGCCAGAGGTAGAGAGGGTTCAGGACAGACTTTACTCTCTGGGCACTGAAGCCCATTCTGGAAGAATAGACACTGTCTTGAGATTGATGAGCCCTGATATCCTTGTTCACTTGCTACAGTTGGGGTTTTGAAGGTCAGTGGCACCGACATGGGGAATGACCTATAAGAGTTCAAAATGATAAACAGAGTTCAAAGTGGAAACTGGACTTGAGTTCACAGGAACCCAAGAGTCCTGGCCCTGATCCAACCTGGTCGTCCCAGTTCAGGATTCTGGTGATTCAGAGGGGCTGGGTAGCAGGTTCTGGCCACCTGAGTCTGAGTGGCTAAAGCTGGCTTCCCAATGTCCAAATGAACCTTCCCTTTTGTCCATGTACAAGCCACACAGTACTTCACCTCAACTAAATTCACTACCCCCCAACTTTCAGTGTAGGCTGGTTTCACATAGAGTGTTGTGATGTTTGTGGGTGGTGGCACGAATCTAGGTGGTCCTGTACCTAACTATAACCACATTCTCAGTTTGGGCAGTGGTGTCTGCACATGACCGATGACTTCCTACTGTCCCTATAGTGGGCATTTGCTGTCTTGGCTTGGATCTCCCTCTGTCTTCTCTTTCTTTCCAATTCTCCATACATCCTGTGAGGTAGCAAGGCCACAGTCACAAAGAGCTTAGTAACTGAATGAAACCACGGAGCTGGACCAGTCAGCCTCCTGGACGTTTCCCACGGAGCTTACATGTGGAAAATGACCTGCTTTTGCTGATTGGGGTCTGTTTCAGTTGATTCCTTCTCCACTAACACAATAGGAGTGTGGATCATTAGCCATGCTGTGTAAGAACAGTATGTGGTTGCAGCCCAGTTCCAAGGACAGCCAGTCTTTCCTGGATGAGCTACAGTACCCAGTCTAATGCTACACACAATCTAAAGTGTCTGGATATAGGGTTTCTCTGTGTAACAGTTCTGGCTGTCCTGGAACTTGCTTTGTAGACCAGGTTCAAACTCACAGAGGAGATCCTCCTGCCTGTGCTGAGAATAAAGGCTTTTTGACACCATTGCCCAGCTAGTCATTGGGCTTTGTGTGTGTGTGTGTGTGTGTGTGTGTGTGTGTGTGTGTGTGAGAGAGAGAGAGAGAGAGAGAGAGAGAGAGAGAGAGAGAGAGAGAGTTTCAAGGCCATACCTTACAGCACTTTTACCTGAGGCTTTAATTTCCTAATTTTGATCTTAATATTCAGAAAATTGTTTTCATTGACAATTCTCTTTGTCTGCCATGCCTTCCTCTTTACATACAGAGTGATTTGGACTTCTTTTGGTTTGCAGAGACCCCATACCCCAGAGTTCCATGTGTTACCATGGAGAGAATATGGGCTGCAAAGCCTGATACTGGCCCCACATGGGGAACGTTTGCCAACCTCGGTTCTACGTTCATGGTCACTTCAGTGCAGTGTAGTAACTTTATTCTCCCTACTTAACATTATCAGAGCCACTCCTGATCCCATTACACCCTTCCCAGTTTATCTTCTCTGACTTTTAGTTAAAAGTTAACAAAGGTTGACTGAAATAATGTGAGCCTACCAGTTCCACGGACATTTCACTTCTACCAGTTTTTATCTTATGACCTGTGTCTTTTCATTCCTCCTTTCTTCCTGCAAGCCTGCACTTGCTGGCAACACCCATCAGGGCTCTCATCCAGAGGTGCTGCTTGCCTGGTACAGGGAGGTCACGGGCGCTGCCTGACTTAAGGCCAGAATCTCTGATCCAGCCACTGCAGAGAAGCCTGCTCAGGGTGTGCTTGTACAATGTGCATAAATCCTTCATGGCTGACTTGATGCAAAATGCCCACAGCTTTTTGACCATATGCTGTGGCGTTGGGGCCCAGTACTCTAGGCTGGCCCACCCCCAACCATGCTCCCATGCTCTTCCACAGGCGGCTACAGCCTCTTACTGAGCCTGCTGACCTGAGAGAGCCTCTTGGCTCAGACTCCAGCACCATTGAAGGGACATGTTGCTGTAATGCCTCCGGATAAAATGTTTCTTTCCAGTGGGTCCAGGATTTATCCCTAGTGCTTGATCTGGCTCTTAGGAGCCCATTCCCTTTGGAGGGATACCTTGCTCAGCCTAGATATCGGGGAGGGGGGCTTGGCCCTGCCTCCAAGTAAGGTGCCAGAGTTAGCTGCCTCCCCATGGGAAGGCTTACCCTCTCTGTGGAGTGGATGGGGTGGGGGGAAAAGATGTTTCTTTCCAGAGCTTTAAGCCCTGCCTCTGGTTGCACGGACTGACCAAACTTCTCTGGAGATGATTCATTCATATTCCACATTGTCCATTCATCAGCCATGTGCTGAGCCTAGCCATGCATATCAAAGATGAGCGATCCAAAGCTGGCGCTATGATGCACACCTGTAATCCCAGTATTGAGGATGTAGAAAAAGGAGAATGATGGGATCAAGGGCATCACAGCAAATAAGGACCCAGCCAGGGTGAATGACATGAGACCCTGGATCAAAATCACCAACAACCAGAGGCTGCAGACAAGGGCCAGAGGTTAAGAGTCCCCTGCTCTTAGAGCATCTGTTCCCAGCACCCACATGCCCATGGGTAATGCTAGTTCCAGGAGTCTGATGCCCTCTTCTGGCATCTGCAAGCACCAGACACCCATGTGGTGCTCACACACACATGCTGCCAGAAGTTCAGACATGTAAAATTAAATTAAATAAATCTTTAAAAAAAAAAAACAATGAAAAAGGAGACGAGGGAGAAGGAGAAAGGGATCCATCCTTCATTCCACTTTGGCTTGAGTTGAGGGAAAGACCCCTACATCAATTGCAGGCAGTGGGAAATGTTTATGAAGAGAAATGTTGGAAACATAAACGAGGGTTGTGTGTTCAGCTTAGGAAAGCTGATGAGAAGATGACCAGCCAGAGCCAAACTGCTCAGCCCTTCCCTTCGCCAAAGACTCTCTCTGAAGCATGGCACAAGATACACACAGATAACTGAAGCACTGCACTGTGAAGAATAATTGAGGGATGAAGGAAATCTCTTTCATGGGAATACCAGATTGAGGATACAGGGGCATCAAGGACTTCAAATAACCCAGAGTCCCTACATCTATTTCTCCAGCCCCTCTTTCAGGCAACAAAACAGAGACCACCCAAAAAAAAAGCCAACACAGAGAGTCACGGCAGCAAAACAAATGTCATTCATTTTACTGGGGATCAAACAGGGCTCAGTTGCTCACTCTGAGGACCAGGGCCAGCACACAGGAGGATCTGATATCTCAGGCTTTGCTGGAGATTCTGGGTTTAATATCTTCCTCCAAATAGCAGTGAGGGATGGCTGGATTCAGGGCAGGGCGAAGGAATAGGAGCAGGGGACAGATGAAGAAATTCGGAGCCCAAGGATCCAGAGGCTTGACTGAAGGAAAGGCTTGTGAGAAGAAAGAGAGGGCTAGGGAACCGAAAGGGGAAGAGAACATTTGGTGGGGACACAGAGCCATACCCAAGGGCCAGAGCCAGCAGGGTGATCACGAGTTTTCACCCAAGTCTGGGCTTTGTAGTCCTATTTTGAGTTCCAAAAGGCCATCTTTGCAAAGATCTGTTTGCAGGTAAAGCGGCTGCTTTTCATGTAGTCGGATATCTTCTTCAGGCCCTGCAAGGGGGAGGAGAAATTGGGAAGCACAGGTTTTACTCTAAGAACCTAACACAGTCTGAGCTGCTCAGGGGCTCAACGATGTAACAGAGAGCTGTGAATCCCAGAATGAAGGAGAAACACTGTTTTCAGCCGTGTGTCCACATGCAGTTGCAGCACATGTATGGAGGGAGCAGTGTCTGTGCTCTGCATTCAACAGGAGGGAGGTTGACACGGAAACTAAATGTGTCTCTCCCACTCACACCACTAGAAAGACAACAGTCTATAGCCCTAAGGGAGGACCTGGGCATCTTCCATTCCGGCTCTCTGGGCTCACTCAACGAGCAGGAAATCCCTTGTCGCTCTTTGTTTACACAAAGACTCCTGCTTTATTTATTTATTTATTTATTTATTTATTTATTTATTTAAACCAGGAGACTCCTTCTTGCCTGTTATTCCACATGGAGGAGGAAGGAGGGACCAAGAAGGGCACCAGTAACATGCCAGTGGACTTTGAGGACAGAACAGCTCTCACCCAGTACTCAGCAAATCCTGACTTAAAGAGGACAGGAAGAGCTGAACCAGCAAGCAGATAATGGAGTGGCCTTTGCCATTCTCTTGAAGCAGAAAAATGTAAACTGCAGCTGAATGCATACTCAGTATATCCATCCTCTTGTCCCTAGTCCTGCTGGAGAAGGGCTACAGAATGGCACTGCTGTGTGGCATCTTTCCAGTAGAGTGCCTAGATAAGTTGTAAAGAATTCAAAGTTCTGGGACTTCCTGTTCTCAAGTGGGCAGGCTTAGCTGGCCTTGAAATGAAGCCTCCCACACTCTCCCACTACACTGTACAGCCAGTTCCTACACAATCTCCAGAGCCAAATAGCCTGGACCAGAATCCAAGCTGATGGAAACTAACCAAACCCACCCCATGCTAAGACTCTCATTGGACTATAGCCTCGATCCCCAAATCTCTAATAAAGTAGGTCTTGTGACTATCATATGCACTTCATAGTCAGGCATGCCTGCTACTCTGCATCCCTGGATGGAGATGCATCTCTCCAGTCCTACAGTGCTGAAAACTATGCCACATACAGAGACACCAGAGAAGGTGAATCCCATCTCAACATTTTCACAGGAAAAGATCAAGCTGTTGCTGAGAAGGAAGATGAAAGGAAAGAAACAGGATACTTAAACATCAGACTGCAACAGCCATAACCTGTCCACTCAGCCTAGCACCAGCTGTAGGCCTGAGTCCCCATACTTCCCCAGTCAGGGATATGACTGAGCAAAGGATTGAGCAGGCCAGGTATGCACACCGAATCTTGGCACTGCACATCAGTCCTGCCAGATTCCCCCCTCTGACATGTTCATAAGGCCTCGGGGCTGGAAAATCCAGGCTCAATGGCCACCCATGGCTCTTTTCCTTGGGCATCTGTGAGATCTACTGTCCTCTGTTCTTGGAAGCTAGAAGCACACATGGAAACAAACACAACTTTCTCCAATGGTACAGGTTCCTTGAGAAATGGACAGTCTCTACAGTCCAATGGAACTGATATTTCTATGTGACATGCAGGTTGTGGTGACAAGTTTCATGCAGTAAGTCTAAGAACAGAACACATGCTAATTATTCTTCATTTGCATTCCAAGAAGTGGAAAGACATGCTGTTTTGAAAGAAAATGTCCCCAAAAGGGAATGGCACTATTAGGAGGTGTGGCCTTGTTGGAGTAGGTGTGGTGTTGTTGGAGGCAGTGTGTCATTGTGGAGATGGGCTTTGAGGTTTCCTCTGCTCAAGATACTGCCCGGTGTGCCAGACCACTTCCTGTTGTCTACAGATCAACATATAGAATTCTCAACTACTTCTCCAGCACTATGTCTGCCTCAAGGCTGCCACACTCCCAGCTGCCATGCTCCCCTCCATGATGATAGTGGACTGAACCTCTAAGAACTATAAACCCTAACCTCAATTAAATGCTTTCCTAATAAGAGTTGCCATGGTCATGGTGTCTCTTCACATACTAGTAACCCTAACCAAGACAAAAGGCATCCTGGAAAGGGGGAAGGGAGGGCATCCAAGAGGAAGGAGGATCAGAGCATCACCTCAAAGCGGGCTACAAAGTCCTTCAGGTTTGGAAACGCATCCAGGCACTTGGGTTCAAATATACGATGCTGGTCAAGAATATCATAAGCGAGAAAATCCACATAGGTGACCTGCAGGAAGCCAAGGGTGAGTGTGCTGGAATTTGATGCCTGGGAAGAATGGCAACTCCTCCTCCCCATCATGTGCCCTTTACCTTGTCCCCTGCAAACCATGGTCTCTTGCCCAGGAACTCAGAATAGCACTTCATCTTCTCGGGGAGACCCTCTAAGTACTCTGGCTTTCGTTTCTCCTGAAGCAAAACAAACAAACAAACAAACAAACAAAAAAAAAAAAAAAAAAAAAAAAAAAAAACAGTCATCATCCTCAGACACACACAGGCTCCATGGCAGAGGCTGGCCTTGAAGGGTTATGCAGTCAGTACCCAGCAGTCAGAGGAGCTGTGGTGATATCCCCACCCCCACACCCCCTACTGTCCTGGTCTCAACCACTGCTGTCAGAAAATCTGTTCAGATCCAAGACAGCTCTGGGCACCTGACTCTGACTCTGAACTCACTTAAGGCAGAAGCAAACAAGCAAATACCCAGAAAACAGTTAGTGTTCTACCTACTGGGGGCGAGGGTCAAGGTACAGTTTCCAAAGAGATGAGATGAATTTGAGAGGACAAAGGAAACAGGAAGAGGATAAAAGGCTTTTGTCCAACTGAATTGCTTATTGGGAGCATCTGCTTATCTCTGTGGGTGTCAAGGACACAGCTCTGGGAAGCCATTTGGGAAGAAAGCCTCCCTCCCAGCCCCAGTTTCTTCTCATAGTGTGAGGGTGTGTGTTGCAGTTGTAGCATCGCTTTAAGATGCTGCAGGACCAGGCTCAGGGCAGAGCCAGCAGTTGGAATGGAGCATTCTGAACTCTGTCTATACTATCAGGGGCTGGAGTTCCACTGTGGAGAGGCTGGACTGGATCTTAAGACTTAGGAGCCATGACTGGGAACTCTCATTTAGCACACTGAGTGTCGGGGTTACCCTGTCAGCAGTTTCAAACACTGTGCAATGAATAGCACTGAGAGGCTCTGGTAGCAAACTGGACCTTAGTGGATTCTAGGGCAAGAGTACAGGGTGAGTTCTGGCTCAGGGGTGGTGGGACTCACAAAGTCAGGGCTGTAGCAAACCATGGCCAATTGTATGCGGGTGTCCATAGCCTGGTTCTCCACAATGTCCACTCGAATCCTCTCCTCCTCTGTCTCCCCACCTGCAGCACACACAGCATAGGGTCACCCTTAGCAAAGCCCAAACAAAGCCAAGATGATGGCTTCTGTCCCCTTGCCTGCAGCCAGCCCCACTCACACAGGTTGTGCTTGCGGGCGATGTAGCGCAGGATGGCGTTGCTCTGGGTGATCTTGTGGGACCCATCAATTAAGTAGGGCAGCTGAAAACACAAGCAGGGATGATCAGATGAGAGATGGGGTACCAGCAGGGATGATCAGATGAGAGATGGGGTACCAGCAGGGATGATCAGATGAGAGATGGGGTACCAGCAGGGATGATCAGATGAGAGATGAGGTATCAGCATCCCTTCTCTGGGTGAGGGCAGACGTGGGGCCTGGCACTCAGTGTGCCTGGCATGGGAAACTCCCCATGAACACAATGCACACTGAATGGAAGAGCAGGGACAGGTGACATGAAGAGCTGGGACACAGCCCATCACAGGACACCGTGCAGCCACCAGGAGTGGGAGCAGGAGAGCTGAAGCTCTGATCCCAAACCCCCTCAGCCAGGCGAGGAGATGAGGTGAGGACGCCATGCCCTCCCCAGACCTCCCCTTCCCTGTGCCTACATTGGGGAAGTCCAGGCCCAGCTTGAACTTCTCATTCAGCCACTGGCTTCTGTCAAAGTCCGGAGCTGTAGACAAGATGGTGTGAAAAGAAATCAGCCCAGTGCCCCAGATTCCTTCTCTAAGAACCCTTCCAAGGAGTCAGGCATGAGAACCACCCCCAAGAAGGAGATCTGCAGCCTGACCCACTCCAAGGGTATAGAATGCTTGTAAGTACCGTTGACCCTCTATCACTGAAATTTACAAAATATTAAAACTAGCACTACAGGAAAACATCATCTAATATCATGTAGAAGGTAACAGCCCTCCATTGGAAGACCAAATTCAAGGTGGTTTCTAGAAGGGACAGCCCTGGAGAGCTGGGCAACAGGGGGTCAGACAAGTGATGCTGAGCATGAATGCGCAGGGGAGTCCAGGTCTGACCAACAACAGGGTGTAATCACCATCTCCCATGGTGTATCTTTTTTCCTCATAGCTTGTGTCTGTGTACTCCAAGAGCAGGCAAATGGCATGAGACAGCTGTAAAGATGACATATGACAGGTCACAGATGGTGAAACCCTGACAGGCTTCCTTAGCCACGTGTTAGTGAACCTCCATCTGACACCTACAGCCTCCCCACAAACTCACACACGGGCCACAAAAGCACAAGCTCTCCTGTGCTTGAACTTCCCCTGATAGGCAAACCTTTCTAACACGTTATGAACTCCCTCTATCTCCTAGAAGTCAGCCCTAGCTGCTTCCCATCCCATGTATCTGTCCCACCCAGCAGCAGCTCTTTCACTCACCCCACGGATATCCCAGTATCCTAGTGTCATGGGCATGGTGCTGCCGGAAGTATCCAAAGTATCCGGAGCAGGCCAACCTGGACCTTGCTAGTTTGAGCTTTCTGATAAAGTCCTAGGCTAGCCGGGAGGAGGAGGCGGGACTTGGTTCTGCTCTCCTATTGGGCAATTGACCTACAGAGTCTCAAATTTCAGACATTCCAATACAGGGAGTGCTGGAGGGGGAGGGCAGCCGGGGAGTCAGGAACAGGACGAAATAAATCCAGCCTCGTCAAACTGACTCAGGAAATAAGTGTGAGCTCTCAGAAGCAATATGCAGGCCTAATCTAGTACCTGTACCAGCAGCTCCCTGCCCTCACTCTGGTGTGCGGTCCATGGAGACACAGATGTATAGTTGGAGACATTCTGGATGGCCAAAGTGCAACACTGTTCATTCTCTTCCTGGTGTTGCTTACACTTCACTATCAGCTCCCGGATCTGGCTCTGAGTGGATCCTGGTGGCTGAGCCAGAACAAAACAGGACGCCTCAAGCCTGAGACAGTACTGCTTGCTGCCTGTGCTCCCAGATGACACACAGGACTCTGCTGAGCTGGGCAACTCAGAGTCACACACACACACACACACACACACACACACACAGACCACCTGTAGAAGCGTGAGAAATATTCAGGATTCCTAAGCACCAGGAAGACTTAAAGCAAAACCACTACAAGACACACCTTTCCCATTGAGAACTGCTGTTATCACACAGAACAGAGGTATGGAGCAGGTGAGAACATGGACCGAGGAGAACTCTTGAATACTAAGAGTATAAAGTATCACAACCATTATGGAAAACAATCTGGTGTTCCTACAATAGATCAAAAGTAGAGATTCCGTTTGTGATCCAGCAATGCAAATCCTGGGTATATATCCACAGGAAATGATATTGGTGTGCTAAAGAGTAAGCACTTTATAGTAACCAAGAAATCATCTACTTGTGTGCCATAGAAAACTATTAACTATATTATTAAAAGGGGGAAAAGAAAAAGAACAAAACTAGATATCCACATGTAGAAACTAGAGAAATGATGACAGACAAGATGCTTGTCTCTCATCCTGGAAAAACAAACAAACAAGCAAACTCAAAATTTAAAAAAAGCCTGACTTAAGACTTGAAATTTAGAAATTGCTAGAAGGACACACTCTAGAATGAGCTCTAAGATGCAGGCATAGATGATTTTTTTTTTCCTGGACTAGGATTCAATAGTTCAGAAAATAAATGCAAGGTTTGACAAGCAAAAGTACTTCAAATGTAAAACCTTCTACACAGCAAAGGGAGTGATCCTTTGGAATGAAAGGAAATCTCTGCCAGCTATTCCTCTGACAGAGGATTGCTCCACAAACATATAAAGAACACAAACTCTTAGCAAATATAAACACACACACACCTATAATCCAGCACTGGGACCCGAGTCAGAAGAATCATTAGGACTTTGAGGGCAGCCTGGGCTACATAGCAAGGGTCTGTCTCAAAGACAGAGGAAGAGAAGGAGAGGGGAGGAGGTGGTAGGGCGCAGTGGAGATGGTGAGTGTTCGAGCTGAGCCAATGAGAGGGACTGAGGAGGAGGGGCCTCAGCAGGTTCTGAGTTGCAGTTAAGAGGGCTTCTGTTGTGCTGATGCACAGCACCTGACTGAGAGAACCGTCAGTGTTTCCACCATGAAGAAGTGATAGATGTTTGAGGGACATGAGGGACAAGTGTTTAGCCTGATCTAAATATAACATACATACATACATACATACATACTATGATCTCAGACAGTATGCCCCCAAAATGTATGATTTTTATGTAGGTTAAAAATAAATTTATAAAACATTTTTTAAGAGGTAGCTGGAAAGATGACACAGTCTTAAGAGGACCAGAGTTCACATCCCAGCACAAGTCAGGCAGATCACAACCTGAAGCAGCAGGGATAGTTCGAAATATATATCAATAAATTTAATAAATAATACCAATGGATTTAAAGATAAAAATCACGTGATCATCTCAACACATGCAACGTACTTTCATGATAAAATTCCTTGAGTGAATAGGACCAGAGGGAACATACCGCAACATAAAGGCTATGTAAATGGAGTTCTTAATCTAAGTAATAAAAACAAGAAGTCAGATGTAGAGGAAAGTGCTGAGACATCAGAGAGAAGAATGAAGCCACAGCCACACCTTACCTCCTTAGCATCCCAGCAGACAAGAGAGCGAGTTCCTGTTTCTCCCTGCTTATGTCCTGTTTTTTGTTTGCCTTCATGTATGTGATTTCTGGTTTGAGTATCAGTTTTCTACAGTGGACTATCACAATGCCCAACAGTGAATTTTGAAGTCTCCAAAAGGAGGATGGGGCCCCACAACAATTTCACCAGGACTATGACAACACCGTTATGCTGAACAACACCAACTATAGAACTATAGATCAGTTTTGGACTACAAACTACTCGCAACAATTTTGAGGTGACTTGCTGAGATATCCAGCTTCACAGACACAGTGCAGAACAATTTTGAGGTGGCTAGCTGAAGTGATCCAGCCTTACAGACTACTTTAGCCAGCATTTGATACTTTAGCCTGACATACTACTTTAGCCCTGGACTTACCCATTAAGCAGCGCCTGAACAACAAATGATACAGTTTGATGATTAACATGGAGTTTCTTTTCAGGATCCCCTAAAGATGCCATTGCCCTCAGACAGCAGGAAGTAAGTTTAAGAACATGATACCCACATACCCAAGAGGTGGCTGGGTGGTTTTTGGTCACTCATTAGGTTATGAATATTTCTCATTGTTTGGGGGTTGGTTACAAAATGTTATTGCTTATGATCGGGAAGAAAGTTGAACAGGGGATTATATTCAAGGTTTTTGTTTTGAAAAACAAAGAGGAATCCAGATATGATAGGATAAAAAGGGTAGATTATTGAATCTACTCCAGAAAGAATAAATGGAGGATGTGGATATGGTAAGATTAAAAGGTAGATTATTGGATCTACCCTTAAAAAGCATCTACTGGTTTTAAATACTTTACATTGGATTGGACTTCCATATATGATATATAAATGTTATAATACAAATTTGAGATTGATTTTGCTAAAACTATATATACATTTCCAATATTATTAAAGGATTGTACCTATACAACTTATTTAACAATGTAATACAAATCTCTAGTCCTTGAAAGTTATTATTATCAACCATATGGGATAATAAGGAAATGTAGTTTATGAATTAGTCAGCTATTACAATCAAACTTGTAGTCACATTAGGTTTGTTTACAAAGACTAACATATTGTAGGAAGACAGGTCATCTTCACACACTTCAGAGATCTACAGAATATGGCATTTAACATGTTTTAATAACATAGGTTCTTTTCTCTTTTTATGACAATGAGACATGTCTGCTCCTGGCAGCACCAGTCTACTTCAGAGAAGACAATGGGCATCAAAGAAACTCCACAGAGAGTTTACTTTCTTTGTGGCAAAAGTAGTCAAGGGCAAGAAAGTGTCCTTGCCTCAACTGCTGACAGTATGTTATCCAAACTGAACAAACAGGACACTAAAGAGAGACTACAAAACCTTGCCAAGACAAGGCAAGACAGCCATTCAGAAAATTCTGCTTTACAGAGAAGTGTGTCAGAGATACTAGGTCTATAGGCCAAAGATGGATGCCTCAGTGCTACAGAGAAACTTTGAGTGACTTTCCAGGAAACAATCCTACAGTTTATATATCATCCTTCTGGGATCTTTGGTGGAGTTGAAGACAGATAGTTATGCTTATGGTTTTCCTTAGTTATTATAAAAGATAAGTTACATATAAAACTTTAGACTTGCAACGATATGATAGATAATATAATATTTTATTAAATCTTGACAAATGTTAATGGACTAAATATTGTTAACTATAGTTCTTGCTTGATAACTGTTTGGCATATATAATTTTACTATGTTAAAGTTAAAACCTTCCTTTTTATTTAGACAAAAAAAAAAAGGAGATAATGGGGGATGTCCTTCTGTATGCTGTGAATAAATGTTTCTCTTATTGGTTGATGAATAAAGCTGTTTCGGCCAATGGACATGTGGGATGTAGTCAGGTAAGAAGTATACACAGGCCTACAAGACTAGGAGAATTTGGGGGAGAGGAACAGAGAGAGTCTCAAGAGACGCCATGTAGCTGCCCAGGGAGCAAGAGGGCCTTACATCACTGGTAAGCCAAAACAGACTGGAAATACACAGATTAATAGAAATGGGTTAATAACTAAGATAAAGCAAGCCAATAAGAAGACTGGGTCATCAGCCAAACAGTTTATAATTAATATAAGCCTCTGTGTGTTTATTTAGGACTAAACGGCTATGGGACCGGGCAAGACAGAAGATTGGTCTACAAGTCTATATATAACAAAACTACAGCCAGCATCATACTAAATGTTGAAAACTCAGAGCAATTCCATTCAAACCAGGAATGAATGGGGCTAGCCACTAGTCCACTCCCTTTCAATATAATGTATGGGCTCTGGCTACAGCAATATGACAAGAGGACATTAAAGGGGTCCAAGCAGGAAAAGAAGTAAAATAATTCATATTTGCAGATAATATATTATAAGTAAAAGATTAAAAAAAATTCAACTAGAAAACTTGTAAAAATGATAAAGACTATTAGAAGAATGGCAAGAAAAAAATCAACTTGCAAAATGTACTAGCTGGTCTAAATATCAATAGGAAGCATGCTGAAAACAATCATGGAAACAATACCATTTATCACAGAGTGGAATATACATACATACATACATACACATATATATATATATATATATTGGACTTAAGGCTCACCAAACAAAGGGAAACCATGCCAGGTACTACAAACCAAGCCAACAGCCCAGGGCTAGTGAAGTCATGGATCTTGGAGGGAAACTTACAACAAACCAGCATAATCACGAACTACATTAAAAATATTGTCATTATACATACAGGTAAGTGTAGACCTCACCCCTCATCAGAGAAA